TATAATCCTGAAACGACTCAACTTTCGATTAAGTTCGTTCGTAATTTTGATCGTGTAATTGATTATCCTGATTCTGGACGAATGAAGAATTGAGAGAGATTGATAGTTATAATGGAATTTGTAGTGGTAGTAATTATATAATTCGATTAAATTAAAATAGGATACTGGATTGAGTTTAATTAAAGCGATAAGTGATTGTTATTAGCTGGAAATTAATATTGTGCGACGATGATAATGAGAAATTAGTGATAATAGAAAATTGAAACGTATATGTGAATATAAATATGAAATATGTAAATACTATATGATAATAATAGTAATATTTTTATTGATATGCTGTAATGATATTTAACATTTAACGTTTGATATGTCATTTCCATGAAACTTTAAAGATTCATGATGAAATATGAAGTAAAAGGTATACAGTCTTTTAACTGTAATTCAACTGTAATTCAAGTCTAGGGGATGAAACTACCCTCCGAAATTTTAATTTCTCTGACGTTATCCTGGAAACTACTGGAACTAGAGAAAAGTTTTTTAGATAAACATTTCGTAATTTTTAATGATTTCTAACATATTATAGAATAATAACAGTACTAGTTACTACAATAGTATAATATTTATCGCAATAATTACAATAATTTAATAATATAAATATTCGAGGAACGAAGCTTTGAAAAATAGCTTCAAAAAATTGCAGAATTCTATTTCCAGTTCTTCAAAAAATTTCTTCAGTCAAGACTTGTCAAAATTGAATATTCTTCGCGAGCACGAGATAATCCAAGAATATAACAGGTAGTAAAGATAACCGAAGATGTCAAGAGGGTAATATAACTTTATATGTACTGGGCTGTTTTTAAGAGTGAAAAGATAAAGGCTACTTGAATTTTAGTATTTAATAAAAAGATGAATGGGAACGTTCGAGAATTTACGCGATTTAATTCAAGCAAATTGGCTTTTCACGTCGTTCTTCATTTATGATATTAATACCTACGCTGTGCTCATCAGAATTCATGGAAACGTCACTTAAAAGTTTTCCCTTATTTAAATCCTAATAAAGTATTAATTCCAATGACAGAGATTCGTCGAAAGTTGATCGAAATTAATTTTGAAAAATGGGTTTTACCTTTATCGTGTTCCTTGAGGAAGCTAACGGTGACCTTGACGTTATCTGTGAACGTTAGGGTCTCATAAGGGACATTGTGAGGCGTCGGTGTCGTGAAGAGGACGTGGTTGGGTATCACGTGGCCATCGATTACCACGCGGTCAACCTTTTCCGGCCTGGGCGATGGCTGGAAAAGAGAAAAGAGAAATTTATAGAAAAGAAATGGTCAGGAGAATTTTTCGAAAAATACAGAATGGGTCTCTAACATTATCGATCGCGATACAGAAGAAAATGGTTTGCAACTATGAATTCCAATTGAAACCAATTTTAATTTGCTTCTTTTGCTTACAAATATATTCATTACTCAAAAATATTATGAAAATCTTGGACATATGACAGTTTTATTTATTAAATTTCTGAGAAAGTTAAGATACCTACATTGGGAACACAGAAAATGACAAAATTCGAAATAATGAATATAATTATAATTGATTTGCATTTAACTGATATGAATGAATGCTATTACAGTTTAAGATTATAATTTATGACCATCGTTTAAGACGGTGATATAAAATACCACATTATACAAAACTGTATTTTAAATAGTCAATTAGTCATTTCAGAAGTATCAAAGTTGCGTTGGGCCACATGCCAAATGGTATTATGAATAGCCAGTTGGACATTCAGAAATATTAATATTGTGTCGAGTTACAAATACATTTACAACTCTATTTGTAGATAATATCTCGGTTTAAAATGCAAGCAACAATTTTTCTAATATACTCCTTATTTAATTAAATATTCTGCTGTTTAAATATATTAGATCTGATCATAAAACAATTGCACTCGTTACCATACAATTTTTCTAAAGCAAAAATAAAAAATAAAAATATATGGTAAACAATTCTAATAAATACAAGAAAATATCACTGATTAACTACTAACAGATAATTCTTTATTTTTATCTTTTATTTATTAAAACAATTGCATTATTTGAACTGTCAATTTGCCAAATTACTTATCCGCACAAAATAAAAATTTCGAAATTTATTTTAAATATAAAAGTTAAGCTTCAGTTATTCAATACTTTGAAATTAAAATTTTAAAACATTCGGAAACTGGAACTAATCCAATTTAACCTGTTAACAGCTCAACTGTACAATAATTCTGAAAGTAGAAATTTAAACTGACTGTTCTCTAACACTCTGGTACAACTGCTTCGTTGTCAAAGTGTAAACTGCATAACCACTCGATCATACGATATTTCACGCCATGAAGCATAAGGATTTGCAACTTCACAAATTTTTGACCGTGCAGATCCTCTTTTGAACCACTCTCGAATGTATACATTTCCATTGAAAAGAGTTTCTCCATCTGCTCGAGTTACATAAATCCCGGCGGTCTATCGATCGGGTTTCCGATCGAACGGGTTTTGGGCTGTTCAATTTCCCAAACGTGTAGATCTCTTGTCGACTTTCCTAGTTCGTTCTAAACGCGTATTGAATTGAAAGGGTTTCCGGTTACTCGAATTTTCGATTGCGCATGTTCCAAATTATTCGGTTTCCTGACTATGCGAGCTGGCTACTGTACAGATTCAGCATTGCTTGGTTCTCTAATTGCACTGGTTCTTGATTGATAGGACCCTCGATGATACAGATTGCCACCTATACGAGTTCTGGCCTACATGGATGCACAATTGTTCGAATTCGCGATAACGCAGAAGCTTCAAATTGCACGTGTACTTTATTCTAATTACGCTTTTGTTAGACCTGTGTGATTAACTCGAAACTAGCCTGTTAATGTTTGGTCTAGGAAATTAGGTTTCAGATGTATAGGTTTTTCGATATATTGGTTATCAAAGGATGCTGGATTTAATTTACATATTACACCGAATGGGAGAATTTGAAGGAAAATTTTTAAGGAATCGTTATGTCGTAGTGAAACATTATTAGTTAATCCAGAAATATAATTAGTACTTTGAAAATATTGTAACTTTGGTTATATTCAGATTGTAATCGAAATTTTTCATATCCTGTAATAGATACTCGAATTTTAAGTGGCTACTATATCATAGCAAAGTAGAAATATTAAAATTAATAATAAACTGATACTTTAAAAATATCGCGACTTTCATTATTTATAGATTATTATACAAGTAAAAATCATTTAAAAATATTCTGTAATTTATTTATTTTAATTATATATTTAATACAAAGCCACGAATAAGTACACTGTTAAGTGGTACTATTACCTACATCACAGCAAAATATTATTAGCAAACTTAATAACAGAATTAATATTTTGCAAGTGCTAAAATTTCCTCCATCTAAAATCTGCTATGCAATTAAAAATTTTAATATTTGGCCATTTATAATATTCAACAATTGTTAAATTTACGATGTATGACATGAACAAGATGTAGCCCATCACATGGTATCATTACCTATATCATGATAAAATACTATTAGCAAACTTAATAACAGAATTAATATTTTGCAAGTGCCAAAATTTCCTCTATTTAAAATCTATTATACAACTAAAAATTTTAATATTTGGCAATCTATAATATTCAACAACGAATACTTGTTAAATCTACAATATATAATATAAAGCTTCGAATAAGATGTAGCCAATCACATGGTACCATTACCTACATCATGACAAACTACTATTAGCAAACTTAATAATAGAATTAATATTTTGCAAGTGCCAAAACTTCCTCCATTTAAAATCTATTATACAATTTAAAATTTTAATATTTGGCAATCCATAATATTCAACAACGAACACTAGTTAAAGCTACGAACCACGTAGCTCCTGTCAGATAGAACCATTACACCACCACACCAGAACAAAGTATTACTGGTGGAAATTCGAATTTCCACTATTCGCTAACCACTAAAGAAATAAAAGATCCGGATGCCCCATTATTTACAACAACGACTACCCACAAAAGCTCCATACTTAACACGAATCCACGAGCAAGACGAGGTAGCTTGTCAACGGCTCGAAACAGTACCCAAGAAGCCACTCTCCCCTCTAAATCCAGCGAAAACATTTAATTAACCGGTCGATAAGACATCGCGTCTCATTAATTACTTGCACTTTCTGGCTGAAACATTTCAACCCTTGTCCCTCCCCGATATCTCGGCCCGGCCTCTCTGCCGCAGGGATTCCGGCTGGCTCACAGGGTCCATGTAAACAGCCCCTAATGCGGTGTAATCGCGTAAAACCGCGGAGGCGAACGGCGACGACGACGTCAAAGACGCGCAAGAGGGTGCAAGAGGCATTCTGGTCTACGTGCATCCTGGGGCGTAACCGAAGCAACGAGCCGGCTAAGGGCGCGAAATAAAGCGTCGGCTAACCGGACCGATGATTATACACGTCCCTCGTTATCGACGCACGGGTAAAGGTCATTCCGCCGTGCAAAGGACGAGGCTGGCATGAACGATTGATTTCCGATTCGTGATAAGGCACGACAACGCTCCTCCGTTCGGGGGTCGAATTAACGCCGTGTTCTGTTTGCAACCGTGTTGTTCTCGCGTGACAAAGATAAAGCGTGTCGTTTGTTTTCCACGATCGAGATTTCGAGGGTGGCTGCAGGCGGCTCGTTAACGCGCGTCGCTCCTAACTGTACAGAGTGCACCAGGGCCTGGCCTCTAGCCAGGGGATCAGGCTTTGCCTCGAGGCCGCGAGTTTTGGTCGTCCAAGGATGCTCACAGCAAATTCCACAGTGTTACATTCGACACTAGCAGGTCTATCATTCTTGGTGGTCTCCTTGCTTTCCGTCAGAGGAATGTCAGGTGGTGGACAGGTACTTTAGCTTCATATAGGGTGGTTCCTGGGATCGGTGAAGGGTACGTTTTATTATCGAATAACACGAGTGATCATCGCCATTGATCGTCTCTTAATTCAATTTAATCCTCTCGATCTATCCTAAGTGAACGATGGTACTTCGCAAAGTACAGGATTTCAGGAGGAATAGAGATTATCGATAGACGTTCCGGATTCTCTATCTTTGTAGCTACATTGGCATTTATCGAGATAGGGACCTAGTTACCTGGTACCTGTTAGCTAATTACTCTTACCACGAGTATAACATATTATTCTTCTTTATGTAACATTCAAACTCGCGTTATTAATAAGCTTTCGTTGGAATTATTTGAGGAGTTAGTAAAGGCTATATTCTTGAATTTTGGAACATATATGTAGGGATACAGATTGATTAGCAAATATAAAGAATAAGGGTTATTTTGAATCTAAACCCGAGGCTACTGTTTATAATCCATCATCAGCCAGGTAGGCCCAGGTGTTCCCTCGCACTCATTCTCAAACCCTAGCATCCTAGAGAAATAAAACTCGTATCGTGAAATCTCTATTATAAAACACGATGTTCTTCTTGAAGCGGAATACCGGAATCGAAGATGGCAGAATATTTCCTCCCTTTGAAAATCCGACATATATATGAATGGGAAATTGGCGACGAGGTATTAGAGATGTTCCTTCGTCAGATTTTGTATATGAAATAATTAAAATAGGGTGATATGCACTTGTACCACGACAATCATACTGTGTCAATACTTTTGTCCAGCACTGTATGTAGGATCAGATTTGGGTGGGTTGACTCAAGATAGCATTGTTGGCTTTTTAATCAAATAAAATAAGCTTATAAGTAGAATGACGATCTTCCGATCTTTCTTAGACTGACTTGGATTTCTTACATACTTCCTGACTGACACAGTGGCACACTCTGACTCTCCTGTACCCTTGCACCCTTATTTAAACCATTCATTTTGTCCTTTTTCCCCCACTCAGGCTTTCCTTCCCAATCATGCCTCTTTCCCCTCAGCCAAGGTGAGCCAAGTACTTCAAACACATGCCGCACTCATAAACTAATTTCCAATCGTCTATCGCACTCGGCTGTCATACACATCCATTCGATCTTCTTGCGCGAGGTCACCTTTGTTCTAAGTTCAAACACTCCCGTCAATCTTTCAACCCCAGTCATTTCCAATCCTACATATATATATAATCAGTCACCTGACGATATTTTTTTTTATACAATATCGAGCAGTGCGAGCCAAGTTCAGGAGACAATCATTGACCTTCGTGACATTCAAGTTACCATCATCCCTTCTACTAGTCTATACACTCGCGAAACTAGACATACACGCAGAGAAACTTAGA